TGGAGGAGTTTAAGGGCATTCTCAGAATAGGTCAAGTCCAAAATTTGGGCCTCCATCTAGGGGCTCCAATTGATCTTGCGAGGGGGAAGAAGGACTCCTTTCAATATTTAGTCGATAAGGTGGTTCAAAAACTTACTCTGTGGGGATCGCTGAGGATCTCTCAATCGACTAAACTGGTCCTGATCAATTCAGTTCTGATCAGCATTTCCTCTCATGTGATGAAATGCTTCAAACTTCCGAGTTACATAGTGAGTAAAATTAACTCACTAATTGCAAGGTTCTTTTGGGCTAAAAATGGGGAAAAGGGTATGCACTGGGTCGGGAAGGACACTCTTCACCTTCCGAAAGGTATGGGAGGTCTTGGCATAGGGAGTTGGGAAAACTGAATGATGCCTTGTTGTTTAAGCAGGTGACCCGGTAACATTGTAACCCACAACTTTTATTGGCTCGTTCGTACGCCCCGATACACTCGTGTACCATGTGCGACGGACGATCACATGTTTTTCTTCGCGGAAATTCTTCTTGGTATAGACGAGGCTTTCATAATGTAGCAAACAAATTCGTCTCAGGCTTTTCTTGGAAAATTGGGAATGGGGATAAAGTCAAATACGCAAGCATGAGGTGGGTAAATGGCGCAGTGCCGATCCTTAAGTCAAACCAGGTGCTACAGGGAATAGGGACAGGGAGGGTTAGCGACTTATTGAGTTATACCCCAACAAGAGCGTGAAATGCGGAGGTTATTCGACAAAAATTTGAGTGGGATTCGGCAAAAAGGATTCTAGCCATGGAGGTTCCAGCTTCGGAAAAGGAGGACTTCTTATTTTGGCAACAACACAAGTCAGGTTTTTACACGGTTAAAACAGGGCACGCCTTGTTATGTCAAGAAGGAAGGGAGGTTACTAGGAACCAAACAGGGGATCAATTGTTCAAAATCATCTGGAAGCTGCACGTTCCCCTAAATGGAGCCTTTTCTTATGGAAGCTTTTTCTGAATAGCCTAGCGGTGAAGGCAAATCTACAACAAAGAGGAATCCCGATAGATGCCAAGTGTGAAGCGTGTGGGGATTTTGTTGAAGATTCTCAACATCTCTTTCGCATGTGTTCTTTGGCTAACTATGCTTGGCTTAATTGCTATTTTCATATTAGCTCTGAAAGTGATGGATCTACTCCCTTGAGACAATGGATCCAAAATTATATACTGATGTTTTATAGTGAGGATGGTATTATGAGCACTCGAACACACACTTTTATAAGTGTGCTGTGGGGCCTAGGGTTGGCAAGGAATGGGCGAGTTTTCAGAAACGAGGAAGACCATCAGTCAAACCTCAAGAGACACTTACAGGCAGCCTCTAAGGAGTTAGAGATTTTTCTGAAGCTAGATAACAGGGGCGCGGGGAATACACAAGCAAGGGGATTGATAGAGGGACCTTCTCCGGGTTTCCATAGGGTGCACATGGGGTACCGGAACATCTCGACAGATAGTTATGATGATAGTAAATGAGAGGTTACAATTATATGTGACAGCTCATGGCACAAACAAACAGGAAATGGGGGTTTTGGGTGGGCTTATGCGTTTCCAGGAGGGGGCTTTGAAGATGGAGGAGGGGGTTATTGCAAAGCCGAGTCACCCCTGTACACTGAGCTCAGGGCCTGTCTAGAGGGTATCAGCTGGGGTATCGATAAAGGTTTCAGAGATATCTGGGTCTACACCGATTCAAGCGAAGTGGTTAATCTGCTTCAAAATCCAGACAGGTGTGATATTCGGCTCTACTGGATTGTTAAACACCTTCGGGAGATAGGTAATACTTTACAAAGGTGTGTTGTTTGGAAGGTGGACAGGGATCTAGTTCGACAGACACATGATTTGGCTAATAAGTGTAGGACTAGTATGATTAGTTTTACGGTTACTTGAGCTTTTTGCTTTCCGTCTTTTAGTTTGCTCTTGTCAAAAAAAAAAAAAAAAAAAAAAAAAAAAAACCCAAAACCCCTAAAACTAGGCATTACGCGTACTTAGCATTTTCTTTTGCAAGACAAAGTATCATTTGCTAAATCTTCTAATCGCTGTTACAGTTAAACGTATTATTTTTCCCTCAACTTGATAACTAACTTCATTAACTGTCAAGAATAATTTCAAGTTATAATAATTATTTCTCATGAATTAAGTAAGCTTCGGCCAAATGTCAAAATAAAGAAATACCTCTTTTCTTCCTTCATGTTAAAGTGATTCCAATATAATGTGAAATGCAAAAGGGCTGCACCATGGCAATATTTACAATCAAATAAATGGTCGGTTCATTTTATGTTTGCACCTTATATACTATAGTACCTCCGGTTTTTTTTCATTATTTGCAACAAAGAATATTATTTGTGATGCACTTTTCTTTTAGAAATCTCGTACATTTTATCCCACTAACATATTATTTTATTAAAGTCATTAAAACTTTCTAAAAATTTGTGCCGATCAAACTGTGTCATTTAAAAAAAATGGAAGGAGTAATAACAAACGGAGATAGTAAGTTAATTGCATGTGTAGTATGACTTTAACTTTTTTTTTTTAATAGGATGCCCACCCGGTTCACCAGAACTTAGCTCCGACTACATCCGGATCCGACTCGGGTAACACACCTGGCTTATGGTGGGTGAGTCTCCCAACAAGAGTTTTTGCATACGATGAAGCTTGAACCCGATATCTCCCTTAAACGACATCAAGTTACTTACCACTTGAGCCAACTCTTGTTAGTTTATGACTTCAACTTATTAAGGAGTGGAATATAATTAACTTTTGTCCCCAACAATTAAGGAAATAATCAATTAATATTAATTATGAAATCATCAAGCTTGACTTCGTACACATCTATAAAAGCAACTGTTTGTTTTAGGATATATATCATCCAACATAGTACTTGCAGCTTAATCATAAGTAAAACTTACAATTTTCATTAGTGCAAAATCAGCTAAGAAAATGGGTTTACCCAAGATGATTTATCTTGGGTTGTTTGTTTTGTTTTTGGCTATCATGGCCGAGGCAGCAAGTACTCCCCCAGGAATCGCTAAAAATCCTGCAAGAGCGTCGTGTAATAAAAAGGAATACAAAATGTGCTATAACTTGGAGCATGTTTGTCCTAAATTTTGTCCTGATAGTTGTGAAGTAGATTGTGCTTCATGTAAGCCAATTTGTTCTTCTTCTTCTTCAACTGAACACCATTCACCCTCGGGATCTGCTGCATCATCTGCTGCATCATCATCATCTGCTGCTTCATCTGCTGCATCATCTGCAGCATCATCTGCAGCCGCAGCAGCTGCTGCAGCTGCCGCTGCTGCATCTTCATCAGCGTCTTCTGGTTCTTCCTCATCTTCTTCCTCCCCTTCATCATCATCATCCGCGGGAGGAGCACCAAAAAACTCTCTCACATCATATTACCCAACACCAACAACACCATCTCCTAAGCCATCAACCCCACCCACTCCTACGGCACCAACACCTTCTCCTTCTACTCCAACATCGCCTTCAAAGCCTACTCCCTCGACATCTTCTCCTCCTTCCTCTAATGCTGGCTACAGAAAGAGAGCTAAATGTAACAACAAGAAGTACGGACAATGTTATAACCAAGAGCATGTATGCCCTGCTAATTGCCCTACTTCATGTCAAGTCGATTGTGTCACTTGCAAGCCCGTCTGTAGTAAGTTTTATCAATTGATACCATAATGCATTTACTAGATTATTACATATGCCAATAATGAACTCAAATTTTTAGATTTAATTTTTAAGGACTATAAATTAATAGCGTTGTACATTTGTTTGTGGTATAACTCATAGTATGAAAATAGCCACTAATTGTTATGTTTGTTTTTGTACACCTTAGACTGCGACTATCCAGGAGCCGTATGTCAAGACCCTCGCTTCATAGGAAGAGACGGTATAACCTTCTACTTCCACGGCAAGAAGGACAAACACTTTTGCCTAGTGACCGACCCCAACCTCCACATCAACGCACACTTCATTGGTAAAAGAAATGCAAACATGGGACGTGACTTTACATGGGTTCAATCCATCGGAGTCCTCTTTGACAACCATCGTCTCTTCCTAGGCGCTAAGAAGACCTCCGTGTGGGACGATGCCAATGACCGCCTTTCCTTGGCCTTCAACGGAGAGCCAATATACCTGGAAGAAGCCGTAGGCTCCCAATGGTCATCCACCTCCACTCCACTAGTCACCATAACAAGAACAAGTAAAACCAACGACCTTATTGTTGAAGTCCAAGGAAAGCTCAAGGTCACGGCTAAAGTTGTACCTATAACCGACGAAGATTCTAGGGTGCACAACTATGGCATAACCGATGAGGATCGGTTTGCTCATCTTGATCTCGGGTTCAAATTTTCATCATTAACCGGAAAGGTTGATGGTGTATTAGGAAAAACTTATGCTAATGATTACGTGAGTCGAGTTAATACTCGAGTATCAATGCCGGTCATGGGAGGAGAAAGAGAGTATGCTAGTAGTAGCATTTTCGCCACTGATTGTTTGGCTTCAAGGTTTGTTGGTGCTCAAGATGAGACTTCATTGCCAGCCATGGAGCTTGCTAGCATGAATTGTGCTAGTGGGATGAATGGACGTGGTGTTATTTGCAAGAGGTAATTCAATATTATTTCCATGTGATGGGAATTTATAACTTACAAAATTTATTTAATTATGTACTCATTTAATAATGTACATAAATATATGTACAAGGTTGAATGTCTTAAAGAATATTCAGCCTTTTATGGATTGTTAGATTTATGCTGATAATTTGAGACATGTTTGTAATAAATATTTACAAATGTAAGTCAATTGTTATGTTGATTTTGCATAAAATTTCTTATAAAATGATTTGTGAATTTATATAACCAAATTATCCTTTACCAATTAGGCAATTAAGTTGTATGTAATCTACAAAAATTTGCTTCAGCCTTTCCATTGCCCAGACCATGCTCTAAAGACGGGCAATGTGTACAAGCTAACAATTTTTTAAAAAAAATACTTTGTAACGCATAATCGACAAGAATTACCATAACAGCATAAAGAGCCACAAAAGAATACTTCCTTTGGGCTGCGACAACAATGAAGTTCTAAGTAACTACTAATACAATACAACAGCTTGCACACCATCAAAAAGCACAACTTCAAATAAAAAGTACATATAGAAAATTTCCCTTGGATCATAAACAATGAGTCCGTTGACAACTGCAGCTCAAGGACTATGGGTTTCCCCTCATGGAAAAGTTGAGTATGCCAAAAAAAGAATCAACACAGAATGCTGTGTGCAGAACTGAGCCCAAAATATCTCAGTTATCTAAGCTAACTACTGAGCCGTTTCCGATTGTTGCACCACTTTGATGCAATTCAGGAACATCGTTGCTTTCGAAAAATGCATAATGAAGTGCCTTGACACATTTTTCAGCTTCATTATCATTTACTATCAAAGATATGTTGACCTGGAAAGTACCAAGTTAAGGGCCAACATTAGGGCAATGTCTCAAGGACTTTTAAGGATTTAAAGTAAAGACACTAACCTTAGAAGCCCCTTGTGAGATCATCTGGACATTAACATTGTTGGTTCGAAGAACATGAAAAGCCTGCAGAGAATACAACACTTATGAGAAGGAGCTGAAGGCGATAAGTAAATAACAAATAGTAAGTGTGAAAGACCACACCTTTTCTAGAATTAAAGACGAATATTGTACATTCCCAATGAGAGATATGATTGATCTGTTTTGCAGCAAGTTAACAACTGCGATATTTTCCAACTCCTCTACTACACGATCAAGTTCCTGCCATAGCACAATAGAGTTAGCTCCATCACCCTTTCTTCTACCATAAACTTATAAAAACTTTCAAAAGGCAATCATAAAGAATGGAAAAATGCAACTTTATGGTTTCTATGGGAAACAAATCAAACAATGTATATCACTCCATACTCTTGCCTGCTGAATAAGTTCTCTGCTCCAAAGCTTAGATGGATCCAACGTCAGTGATATACTCACTTCACTAGTAGCAACAACATCCACAGAGATCCCCAAATCCTCAAATATCGAAAAGACCTGCATGTCGATGAGCCAGATTAAACCACGTTGAAAAAAAAAAATCTGTAAGAGCCATGTAACACAAGTTAAGGAAGAAGCAGTACAAACGATAAAAGTAGTCTGACCTTTGCAAGGAATCCAAATTGACCAAGCATGCGAGTACTAACTATATCCAACATGGTAACATTCCGCTTCAACACTATGCTAGTAAGTAGAACCTGTAATTCCATCGAGGAAGAAGCAGTCAATGTCAATCATGCAAGGATTGCAGCCATCGAATAACCCTATTATATACATACCTCACTCATATCACGTGCCCTGTTGATAAGTGTCCCTGGAGCTTTTGGGTTGTATGAATTTTTCACTCTGACAGGAACATCCCCCTCCCTAGCAGGTCTCATTGATTGTGGATGCAAAACCTATATAGAAACAAATATTATCCATATATAATTAACTATCATTACCTTACACTTAAAATAGAAAAATCATGGGGAAAAAGGGATAAAAATTAAGGTCATCAAGGCCAGGTTGTAACCTATGAAACCACATCGTTACCAAAACAATCAAAATAGTAACACTCTGGCACAAAAGAGAGTGCAATCTAACTAGATAAAGGCTAAGTATCACGGTCCGACTGTTTTGACTTTTGACATAAGATCATGCAACACACTCTTGCTCTACAAAAGCAAGAGTGCAAGCCGCAATGAACCGGGTCAACCCACCACAAGCCATACGGGTCTATGAGATGAGAAAGAAACAGCAGCAAGACAAAGACAAGGGACAAGAGCAGCCAACAACAGAGCAGCCAGCAACAGCAAACAAGGAGCAAGAACAGGACAAATTAGTTTAATGCACCACTAAGGAGTGTGGTGACTGTTCTGATTTTCTGAAGGCCACTAGAGCAGTACAAGACAAATATTAACTAATGAGGAATGCTTGGTATATAAATAAAAAACAAAAGAACAGTAGAAGTTATGTGAGTTATAAGAAGACTTGTAGGGTAGAAGTAGTTCATTCCCTCTAGTAAATTGTAGCCCTAAACTTACACTTTTGTAGCCTTAGTTTCAAGCAAAACATCAACAAACATCAAGCTTTCTCCTACCTTTATATTATCTACTCTATTAGTTTGCACCGAGGAATCCTAGTTTATAGCACAAGCCAAGGTTGTGCATGTTCACAGCTATCGCGCACAAACATTGCCTCTTCCCTATTGACAACAAGGGTCAATCTAGGCCTTTAGATGTGTAAAGTGAGACAAACGAGGCGACAACAGGAATCAGTATTTTTATATAAGCGAAAAATGAACGTGTGTGTTGGGGGGGGGGGGGGGGGGTTTAACAAAAAGGCAACATCAACAACTCATATGCCAAGATAGAAAGCTTTGAATCTCATCCATTAATCCTAACTCCCTAAAGAGCTTTATTTTAAAAACAAGTATTCCCGCTAAACAGTGTGCATCAATAACATAACAATGCATTTCAACAAGCAACATGCACATGCCTCGAACAGGTGTAATGGGAGGGTTAAAATTAAGGAAGAATTATTTCTGTATCTCTGGATTGGAATCGGGGTAATTAGTTAGCGGGGTAACTCATTCCCTTAAAAGTAGGATTAATAGCTACCTAATCCTCACTCCTCCCGAGTTATTACTGTACAATTAAGACTCTTCATCTATCATACTCTCCCTTCTCTATCCTCTATTTCTCTTCTTTCCTTCGCTTCTGTATCTCTCCGCCAAATGGAAGCAGCTGGCAACCACCAAAGCTTCCTGATGGAGTTGAGAAGCCACGCCAATCCAGGCCAATTAAAAAGAATGATTTGAATTGGAGCCATCAACTGAAGAAGTAGTTCAACCCCACAGTTAAGGGCTTTTGATCTTTCCAGTGAAGGGACCCTCAATGTGGTATCAATATTCCAGTTGTCATGGTGGCTTCCGTCAATGGCCATGAATTGGTCTTGCAAGAGTTGCAACAGAGGCTGAAGAAGACTGAAGGGATTTTCTTCTTTACCCTGTTGCCAAATTATTCCCTAAACTAGCAGTCGAGTAGAATCTACCACTACCCCTTGCATAATTTCTGGAATTCAGACATTACATTAAAGGACAATAAGGCTGGGGGCACACAATAAGTAATTAAGTATGCCTATAGGTTCTCAAAAAACATTATGAAACCTAAGGAAAAAGATTAAAGAAAGGTGGATTCTAAAACTAGGACTATATTCAGGTGATTTCTTGCCCAGCTTCATAGGGTTGTACCTTCTCTTTTTAGTAATGAACTAACCCTAAGCAACAAAGAATAAACCTCAGCACATGAAAAAAAATTAGTTAGTGCTTACCTGTGCCCCAAAATAAGCAAGCTCAGCTGCCTCATCAAACGTTAGGTATGGTACAGGTTGAGCTTGAGGATAAATCGTTGGGTCACAAGTTAAAACACCATCAACATCTTTCCATACCTGAGAAAATGCAAGCAAATAAGTTTCATATATAAAGGAACAACCTTTTGAGCCCTTATTTATATTTTAGGATATGATCTTATACAGTTCAAATATTAAACAATAAAATATAAGACAGATTAACCTGTATTTCCCTTAAGCCCAGTGCTTTGCCGATGGTTGTAGCAGTTAAATCACTGCCACCCCTGCCCAGTGTTGTGATAGCACAAGACTTGCAAGCCTAGAAATTGAAAAAGTACATCCATAACAAATCAAAACAGATTATCTAATTTCTAAGAAAAGACTCCCAGACAATATCAGTAGAGCAGCAAAAAACCTTTCCAAGGAAACCAGTGACAATGGGAATTGCAGGATCAGCAGCCCAATCATCATAAAATCTTTTGGCTAAGGCTGGATAGGTTGCTTCTAAAATGTCCGCATTGGTAAAGTCATCCGTTGTAATAAACCCAATATCAAATGCATCATACTGCAAAATTCTAATCAGTATCCCAGTTAGCAAAATTTAACACCGAGCAAAAGAAAGTAAAGAGCTCTAGACCTGAAAGAGATCACAGTACACAAGCGATAGCACAGTATCATAACACAATAATCTAAACTCATACATGGGCTATCAGTCAAAAACAATAGGTATCAACAGTTGCAATTTGCAAAAAATAATTTTTTTATTGCAAGTTTGTGTGTCAAGTCAAATCATATATCATGTCCAATCCCTAAAAGAATCAACCGCATCAATTTGGAATGACATAATCAGATGTTGATCAGATTATAAATAAAAACAGTTTTAACAGCATACACACTTCTCTTACAACCTTATTATATGAGATATATCAGAAAGTACCTATTTGATACACCTAACATGTCTTAAAAGTTTAACATTTTCATTAAACCAACAAAAAAAGGATTGTGCTGTCATATTACTACAAGAGCAGAATATAACTGAATCCTATGACTTTGGCATTAGTATAAAATAAGTTGATGTTAGCTTCACCAAGATATAACACAAATGCATTGGAGTTTTCATTTACAATTAATGGTCTCTAAAAATTATAACTTCGTCAAAAAATCATAACTTTGTCAAAGTTGAAACAGCACATATATATAATCATATAATCTGAAGCTGATAACATACTTGTCGCGCTTTGGCACCAATTTTGTTCATATAAGCGGCGAAAATCCGGGTGGACAAACACTCTCCAAAAGAAACAAGATAATCCTTAGTACGCAGGGTGAGTTCCTTCATAATTGCAATACCCTTGAGAAGCTGCTCTAATTCCTCTAAATGCGCTTTTGGAAGGAAAAAAAAAATCAAAATTAAAAAAAAAAAAAAAAAAAAAAAAAACCCACTGGTAGACAAATAAGTGATCACAATGCATACAAACTGGTTCAATTAGATAGAACAATGCTTACAAGATACAACAGAGACATCGATTCCGAGCTCGGCCACCGTCCTTTAAGCATCAAATAATTTAGTTTCAGAATTGAACAGGAATAACAAACACGCTATAATTATTATTATGGTTTTCTAGTTACCTATAATGAAGATCCTTAATAAGGCTGAGTTCCGGGATGTCGGACGCCTTCGAAGCTCCGCAACTTACCGCCTTTTCTCCGGCCTATGTACCCAACACATACATAAAATGAATCCAATCCAATACAATACAATACAATACATTGTTACTAATGAAATCGGAATGAAAGCAAAGCGAATGATGATTGAAGGAGAGAGAAAATGCAAACATACATTGAGGAGATTGCTAGTGGTCTTTCCCATGGCAGAAAGAACAACAACAGGAATTTCTTCAGGAAAACTGAGAATAAGCTGAGCAACCTCCTTCATTCTGTCAGCAGAAGAAACAGACGATCCACCAAACTTCATTACAACCGTGAAAGTCTTCTGCTCGTCAAAATTACTTTGCTGAGTATGTCTCTCTTCCTCCACCTTCAAACAATTAACTGTGAATGAATGATTCGTCTTCGTGTTCTTCGCAATCGCCATTGATTTACATCCCATCAATTGAAGTTGTTGGGGACAACAATTGAAACCTAAGTTCTTCAAGAAAGGTGTAGAAGGGATGAATTTGGGAGTTACAGCAGCTTTGACGCCATGGAAATGCAAGGAAGCCGCCATTAGAGATTGAAGAAGAAGGATTGTCGACGAATATGAAATGAGGGGAGGATTTGTGTGTGTTTCTGTTTCTGTCTCTCTCTCTGACTCTCTGTATTGAAAATCAGAGGGCGTTGGAAAGCATAGGAGAGAGAGAGCAGTCAAAGGAATGCGTAGGACGAGGAGAGCAAACAAAAATGGGGGAATTGGAAAAAATTAAGATTGCGTATAGTAGTAGGGTTTTTGTGTTTTTAGTATCTTCCGAGTTTCCGCCTCTTTCGGGTCACAGGATATACCCGGACCACCCGATTTTTAGTGAGTGATGTTCAATGGAGATGTGAATGATACTAGTTGTTTGATATCGTATTTTGTTTTTAGTTTTCTAATTTTTAATTTTTTTTTTTTAACGAAAATCAAAAATCGAAAATAAGAAAAAAGAGTTTTCAGTTTTTTGTTGTCAGTTTCTAAAATTATTATGATTTTAATAAGTTAGCAATACCAAACAAATAGTTTAATCGATTAAAGTATTAAGGGTGATACTCAAGATATGAAGTTGAATTTTATTTATGTTATTTTTCCTGGTGTCTTTAATTATAAAATGGGTTGAATATATAAAAGTTGTACCAATGATTATGGATGGAACAATTTCAATTGCCTTTGGAAGGTAGAAACTCAAAAACATATGTTTTAATGCTTTGTTCATTAATTAGGAACAATATTAAGACGAAGACATTGTTGTTGTAAATTTGTAATATAGAGTAGATCTTATAATTTTCTTGTGTTCAACATTGATTATTTGCAACGATAAGATAACTTCTATTTATACTTATGTCAAATTGTTGTAAATAATATGAACAGATTTAACGTTCTCCTTGTGAGTCATCGTAGGTAAACTAAAGCAAACTATGTTAAAATTTCTAGTTGATCTTCTCAAATTCAACTATATATTTGTTGTCTTTGTCTCACACAAATCAGTTAAACACATCCTACTTAAAACCACACTTTTTTCCCTGATGAGAGTGAGGGATAGCTCAAGTGGTTAGAGCTTCCCTCCCGGTTCCAAGAAATCTTGGGATCGATTCTCACCCTTGCCCTTGTGGCTCTCTAAACACAAAAAAAAAAACACTTTTTTCCCTGTTATACTGACTGGTCTATACCCCCCCTCCCCCCCCCCCCCCCACACACACACACATAATCATTGTCATCATCACAATCAATGGCTAATGTTTTTATCAATGTGATGGAAAAAGGAATATACAGCTACACATTGAATATGAAAGACCACAATTAGGAGTAATCCTGAAGATAATCGTGCACTTGAAACGTATTATACAACAGAGTACCCTCTTCAGAGTAATGGAGGAGGTAATAACAGTTATCACAGAAATAACAAGGATTTTCCCCGGCCAACTTGTCATCCAACGTCACCTTTGTGGCTTTGTATATACGGCAGACAGAGCACTTCTTTAAAACTGTTTTCAATTGATACACAAGCAAAGGGTAAGCTGCCCGTTTTGGTACATCATCAGGGTGAATCAATCTCATGTCTCTTATCAAAATAACATGCTTGCAATCACCCTGCATACAGTTTTGCTAATTACATCAGTAGTCATGAATCAATCTCAGTAGTCATGAATCAGGAAGCACATGATATTGGACAAAGAGAATGGTGAAGCCATGAGCGATATAACCAAGAAAAGTGACGCAAAAGATTAGAATACGTAGTAATTGAGTTTTTATATTAAACCGAGCAAACTTCTAAGAATTTGCTCTTTGACTTGTTATTCAAACCAATCAAATTTATTTTCCTTATGCATTGGAAATGAGTTATACCCTTGACAAAGGATATTATGAGATTATATTAGGTAATTGGGAGGATTCACATTCAGCTGTAGAGAACAGTAAATACAAGATCCTTTATCAATGTGAATTTTCCTAAATTTATAACAAATGTCTGGTTATGTGAAAGTTGCCTTTAACTTCCAGAAAATCTCACACAAATTATAAGAGAAGACAATGAGAAAGGGTAATACTGATAAGCAAGAGCAAGAGCAAAATTAAGGCTTACCTGGTGACAATACAGATACCCAGAGCCAAGCCGGAATCCCAAGTCACAAAAGCGAGTCCTTTGCATGTCAACTGATCTAAAATTAGGCAATTTGGATATTGGCTTGCTGTCCAAAGGAACCTTCCGACCCTTTCCTACACCAGACAGAATAGAGTTCCATTTTTCAAGTGCCTCTTTCTTGCTATTCTTAAGCCAATCAAAAATTGGCTCACTATAGTTGATAGCAGAAGGATCCCTTGTGTCGTTGCAGAAAACCTCCTGTAGCAACGGGAAAGTTTGGTTTAACATAGTAATCAGGCACCATATGGATTAAACGAACAAAAGAACCCATGACTTGCCTCTATGAGGAAATATCCAGAAGGATCATATGTATTTGCTTTCTGCATAACCATATCCGTTAAACAACGAATCTTATCCCTCAGCTCAGTCAAGGTTTGATTGCCAAGGACCAGAAATTCCTGTGTCTGAAAAGAGGAGAGACAAAGAATGAATATACACAAGACATAAAGACTGATTGTACCACTACATCATTAGCCTACAGACCACCAACTACATAAATAAAAAAATAAAAAAAAAAGACCACAATTTTTTTGTAAGATCCAAGGACCTTCTACAGGTTAAGATTGGATGTAATGAAATACTATCATAAAGTACCAGACATCAGCAAGTTAAAATACTGAAATCTAATCCAAGCTGAATGAAATGTAGACACCCATACCTTTTTCCAGGAATGTTTGTTGTGATAAACCTCGACACACAGAATAGTTTCTGGGTATTGAATTGGTCCATGTTTCCCAGTCAGTGAGCATTTCACCTAAACAAGAAATAAAGTATTATGGATAATAAGGGGATTTATATATACTTAGGACAAAATAAATACTCCACAGAGCACTCTTAAAGTCTTAAGGATTATCAATAAATTACAGTTATACTGTAAACTCCTCACTCCATTCAATGATACAAAAACAAAGAGGGCAAGTGAGATGCATCAGCTCTTACATATTTCATTGCAGTGTTATTAATATAAGAGCATATTAGAGTTCCCCCAATTCCCATTGCAAACAACCCTAAAGTAATAAAAAGTTGAAAATAGGAGGAGATCAGAGCAACCAACAAATTCATCAGTTTTTTAAGAACTTTTTGGAAGCAAACCCTGATTAGGCAGCAGAGTAACTTGGAGAGAAAGTAACATCAGTAATCAAATAGATTCAAGGAAAGTTTTAAAGCACACACCTTGGCAGGACAGCCAGATGAGTCGAGATGTTTCAGAGTTTCAATGTTTCCAGATGATAGAGCAGTGGTGTTATCTTTCTCACAACTGCAATTTCACCGACAAACAGAAAACAAAAGATAAGAAACAAGATAGAAATCAACAAATAAAAAAAGTTCAATCAGAAGAGAGTTTCAAATAGATCCAGTACAAACTTGAATGAATGGAGTTTCACTGATGCCTTTTCTTCTTCCTGCTTCTGCCTGATTTTTGCAAGATACTCCACTTTCTCAAGATACGAGTCCTGCAAAAGCAAATCCACATAAATCTAAGGGTTAAGATGGATTCAATAGAAAACTTCATAATAAAATTTATAAACCAGGAAAAATAAGAAAGCTACATTTTGCAGGTCTTGCACTTCAAACAAAATGATCTTGATAGGTCAATTTTTATTTAAGAAAAAACTCTAGCAGAAAATGATATTGAAAATAAATAAATAAATAAAGTTGTTCCTATAAGCTTAATCTTTGAATCATTATTCAATGATGAAGCCAAAATACACAAAAATATGTTTTTAAAATTCAAACAGGCTCTTGTTATAGTTTAGGCAGCAGTGCCTCCCTTCATTAATCCCTATATTCCACACCAAAGGAATGAAACAAATCTTTAAAATTGTTTGTCTTACAAAAATTGCAAGTTGAAATTAGACTCTTATGATGTGTTTGGATTGAAGGAAATGGAGGGAAAGGAAGGGAAGGGAAATGAAGGAATTGATTATCTTTCATTTGGATACCACATGAGAAACAAAGGGAAATGGAGGGGAGAGAAATGGAGGGATTAAATTTTAAGAAATTCATCTCTCCATCAATTGAGAAATTTGGAAGGAAAGCTCATCTTTCATCCCTCCCCTCCCCTCCCCTTCCTCCCCTTCTTTTCCTTCCATTTTTAATATCCAAACACAATGTTAAATGTAGTTCATGAGACCCTTTCTTCACAAAAGACAGGATGGGTCTTCCGAATCCCAAGCTTGGATGAGGGAATAAGGTATTAGTTGCAAAGAAAGAAGAAACTTTCAAAGTATATACTACAACACAGGGAATAATAATACGAAGGGAGAACAATACACTGTGTTTTTCCTTATCATGATCAATCACTTTCTTCGTCCTCCCATTCTTTGAACCAGCTTTATTTTTAGCTTTTCTCTTCCTGTTCTTCACATTAGTGCCATCTTTTTCTCCACAGTAACTTGTGTCAGATGAAGAGCCATTAAAGGACTCACAGGAAGCTAATGTATCAGCATCCAACATCGTTTGATACTCTTCAGCCCTGGGAAACAAGACAGACAATAAGAAGTCTAATAAACCATAAGTTTTGCAAGCTCAAGCAAAAAACTCCAATATGATCCGCCAATTTATAGCCTAGTTATTTTTATTCAATTGATCACTAAATCAGGTAGGAATAGTGTATTAAAACAACTAATAAGTCTATCTTGCCCCTCTCTTAATCACCAAATAAGGTCCTTATGGAAATGGGTTCATCAGACTCTCATCATAGTATCACACCAAAATATATGTGTTATATAATATATTCAGAAAGAGGTTTTAGCATAAATTTTTTAATTCTCACTGATCATATCTTTAAAATTTTAAATTCACTAACCCTGAACTGCATGGGTCTTCTTCCAAGTCTGAAGAAGTTTTAGCCTCCCCATCATCCTATAGAAATAAAATAATTAAAAAATAAAAAAAGCAACAAAGATGATTTAAGAACCATAACAGATGTATCAAAAAAAGAAAAAGAACAATAATAGAAAATTAATGTTCTTAGAAAAAAAATATACCATACCTGAAAAGCAATTCTCATAGCCTCAGCAACCAACTCTTCATCACTGTATAACTTAAGTTGATCCACCCTAAGACAGAAAATTTACAGCTAAATTCATCGACAATAGTAGAAACACCTTTTATATACACCCGAGAATAGTTTTTTTTTTTGTTCATTTGATTTTTTTTTCCTTCTCATTTTAAAATTTTGAAATGAGCAGAAAATATCCTTGCACTTTCCACCCGGGTGTATACGAGTATTAGGAAAATCAAAAGAGCAGCAGGGATGAAAAACAAGAAGTGACTTACGAAATATCTTCATCTTCGAAATCAGTATAATCAGAGACTAATTCAGCTTTCAAACTCTCCAATTCATGGAAAACATCGGACTCAAAAGCAGAAACCCTAGTGAGGGGGCTTACAAAGTCATGAACAAAGATTGGACCTCCTCGTGGAATCGAATATGAGGATTCTTCATCTGAAATTCGTTGCGATGACTCTCCCTTATCCATCTCTAATCATCAAATTTCATGGGAACCCCAACCAATTTAGCATTCAGGCAGTTTTTGATCCTCAATGCTAAATTCTAGCTTCTGTGAGAATCATGAATTAGAAAATGTGACCATAAATTTACAAAGCAAATATATAGTATAAGATTTTTGTGACTTCCCTCCACCTCCCTTCCAAAAGTATTCTAAACTATTGTTTTTCATCTTCCAATTCTAGCATCTAAAATCGAAACTCATAATTAGTCTAATTTCAAAAGTCAAAATCAATTACACAAAACAATTCATATAAAATTTGGCATCAATTGCATATGAAATTAGTCAATTAGATATATAACAACCAATTAGTCTAAATCTAATAGCCAATGTCAATAGAATTTTGGCCTGAATTGCTAAAAGTTTATAACTTTATACAAGTATTACCTATCTAACAATATCTATTCAAATTGAAAAAATTAAAACTAATACAAACAATTAAGAATCAACCAGCTATATACTCTATTAATCAAACACATTAACAAGTACTGTAACAACTAAACAATATTATAAATTAAAAGCTGGAACATTGAAAAAATTAAACAGAAAACTGAAAAAAAAAAATTGAAAGAACTGACTTACCGAGAGTTCTAGACTTCGAGACAACAACTCAACGAGTCGTAGGTCGGTGCGGGACGGTGCCTCCAGCGGCCAGCTTCCGTGCGCTGTGCGGGTCTGCCGGAAGTCGAGCAGAGGAGCGTAACTGGGGAAATTTTTGGGGGGGGGAAGTAACTGAGGAAGTGAGAGAGAGAGAGAGAGACCGTGCAAAGAAAGAGGATTTTTTTTAAAAAAAACAAAAAAAGGGGTTTTCTCATTGGCAGCCATGTAGATTTGAGTAACAAAATTTTTCCATAAATCTCTTAAATAGCAATAGATTTATCATTTTTCTCTAATATAATGTTATTTTAGTAATTTTAGCATAATTAAGCTATTAATCATGATTAATTACATAATTTTAGCATAATAAGGGTGGTAGAGGGATGGGAAGGTGCCAAGGTGGTGGCTGACTGGCTAGGTGTTTTTTATGGTAGGGGTTAGATAGGAGGGTGGTGAGGGTATGGTGGTGTGGTGGTAAAAAAAAAAAAAAAAAAAACACATTCCCTTACCACCCTTATTCACATCCCTCCTTCAATTCCCCCCTCCCCTGAAACACCTTGCCGCACCCCCTACGAGCACGCGCAACCTAGCAGCCACCATCTAACGCAACAACAACCAACCAACAACTTCCACCACGCCTCTATCTCCACCCGCATCAATCACACTCACACAAAATTAACCCCTGCCGCCCCTGTATTTAGCACATAGCACCCACTACTCAAACTCTTACTAAACGCTGCACAAAACACCAGCTTTTAGCATTGCCTCAAGCACTTAAACACACGCAGCAGTCCATTAACAATAATAGTCGCAAATAGCAGTTGCAAGAGTCAATTTCAGCCCTAATTCATAATGAACGCTACATAAAACGGTTTCAGGGAGGGAAGGAAAGGATGGTTAAGGGTTTCGGGGTGGAGGGGAGATTTGGCTGGGTTGTTCGGTAGGAAAGAGAATGGCGGCAAGCTGTTTCAGCGGTGGGGATTGGAGGAGGTGGCTTGTTGGTTTAGTAACTTACACATGATTATTTAACCCTGGTTAGTGATTTTAGGTTATAGAGGTCAGAATTAGTAAAATAATACTATGTTAGAGACTATTTAGATTACTAATGCTATTTAAGAGAATTTGTAAAAAAAAATTGTTACTATTGAGAATGTGCAATTTTATATGGCTACCAATGATAATTTCCCAAAAAAAAAAAAATACTTGTGTATTGCGCCTCACCATTGTTTTTTGGGAAATTTTCTTTGGTAAACCTCTAATTTTTACTTTTCTCAGTGGTAAATTGGAAAAATTCTTATTATCTTTGGTAAACCTAAATTATTGGTTACCATTGATAAGTGTTATTTTAATAAAAAAATTTAACTATAGTTAGTTTTTATTTTTTTAATAATTAAATTATTATAAAATATTTTATTTTAAAATAATAAAATCAAACCGGCCCTTCCCCCACCCAACCTAGCCACCGGCCAAAGTCGCCCGACCTCCCCCACAATCGGCCGGCGACGCCCGACCTCCCCCACCCTCATTCGGCGATGCCCAACATCCTCCGCCCCACCTTATCTCTTTCCCCGTATCTTGAAACGTCCTATTTCACCACCTAACGGCCACCGCCGACCGCAACACTAACCAACCCGAAATCTAACCTCCTTCTCCGACGACTCCCCTCCCCTTTTCGCGCGACCCAGGAACCTTTAACCCCACCCAAACCACCCGAAAACCTAACCCATTTTCTAGGTTTAATTTGGATTCAATACCCTAAATGGGTTTGGGCTTTTTGTGTTTTTGGGTGGGATTTAGGATTTCTGGGCCGGCGAACAAGGGAGAGGGGTCGTCGGGGAAGAGGGATGATTTTCTGGGTGGGGGGAAATGGTACATTTTGAGATGCGGGGAAAGAGAGAAGGTGGAACGGGGGAGGCTATCGCCGGTTGGGGTTGGGGAAGGTTGGGCGTCGCCAGGTGGGTGGGGGAGGACGACGCACCGGCGATGGTGGGTTGGGTGCCGGCCGTGGGTAGGGGTGGCGGAGAGTTGGAGGAATTGATGATCTTGATGATGATGATGAGTTAAGTGAGGGTATTTTAGGAATTTTTTTTATTTTAAAAAAATGTTAACCATGGTCAAATATTAACTAAATTGCTTCATTAAGTTCACCATTGAAAAAATATAACAAATTAAAGTTTACCAAGGATAATAAGAATTTTTGCAATTTACCACTGAGAAAAGTAAAAATTAGAGGTTTACCAAAGAGAATTTCCCTTGTTTTTTTAAGTAAGAAAACCGTATAACATACCTTTAATCGACCGAATAACTCCGGACTAAAAAAACTTTTGATCGAGTAATCTCTAATTGACAAAGTAAATTCTTATTGATTGACCCATAACCGAATAAGGTCCTGTTTGGTAATTAGCTTTTAGCTGATTGGTATAGTTGATTATATTAACTGGTTTGACTAGCTGGTTATATTAGCTTATTTGACTAGCTAGTTGTAAATAGCTGATTGTGTAAAAGTGTTTGGTAAATAGCTGTTTCAATGTATTTAATACCCAAAAAGCTAATTTTTCAATAAGCTAATTGTAAAAATCTCTTTAAATGAGCTTTTTCAAAAAGAGCTTTTTGGAACCAAAAAGCTTTTTTAATAAGTTATTTACCAAACACCCAAATTAGCTTTTTAAATTGGTCAAACCTCTAATAATACTCAATAAGCTAAAAGCTTTTTAAAAAGCTCTTTACCAAACAAGGCCTAAGTAACCTCTGATCGACCGAGTAACTTTTAACCTAGTAACCTTTGACTGAGTAATCCCTGATCGAGTGAGTAACCTTTAACTGACAAGGTAATTTCGACCATTTTTTCAAAATAAAAATACATGGCTGGTGAGCCACATATGAAAGTTTGTGAAACAACATTAAAAAGTCCTTCTTACAAGGGGAATTCTTATCGTATTAGAAAAAAGAATATGATATAGGCTAGAGCTATTATAAACATCAATAACCATATTATCATATACTAAGGGCTCGATCTCATTTAATGAGCTGAAATGAATTGAACTGATTGGAGCTGAATTGAATTGAATTGATTGGAGTTGAATTAAACTGAACTGAACTTAATTGAACTGAATAGAGTTGAAATGAATATTTTATAAAAGAAGGAAATTAAGAGCTAAACTGAACTGATTGGAGCTAAACTGAACTGAAATTAAGCTAAAGTGAATAGGCCCTAAATGACCTACGTTAGTGATTCAATCTGCTGCACGATTCGTCTCTAGGTATAGGTGTTGAATACTCTAATTATGAAAATGAGTGAGGAGAGATCGAATGTATTTGATAATATGCTCGATTTGCCAAGGGGTTGCCCAAACGCCTTGATGACTAATGGATTATCCCCTTCAATCTGAATGCCACATTGAAGAGCTAGTTGGACTCCTTTATAAAAAGTTAGAGCTTCTACTGTAAATATTTTGTTGTTGCAGAGGTCGAAAGTAAATGTCTTGATGAGGGCATCGCTGCTATCTCTAATGATGATTCCTGCCACTAGCTTCAGCTGTAAATAATTTGTTGTGTGTCGAGGTTGAAAGTAGATGCCTTGATAAGGGTACTGTTGCTATCTCTTATGATGATTCCTGCTACTATTAAGTTGTTGCAAACCAAACCGTCGAAGTTAATTTTGGTATGTACATACTCGTTCAGTACGTATCACAACTACATTCACACCTATAAGACAGAATCCGTAAACTCTAAGCACCTTGAAATTTGATAACAACCCCTATATAAATCAAGATTAGCTTTCTTTCCAAATGATCCATCTTGTGTCTAAGCATGAGTATATGAAGAATTATAAGAAATTAATTAGTAAAAAAAATAGAAGTGGGGAAGGCAGTTGGCGCCAAATTAGAATAAAAAAGTAGTTGGATCTGGGTGTTTATGTTTGTATGGTTAAATGGGTTTGGAACTATAGTTTATTCTTTAATCTCTACTATTAGTGTCACTCTTATCAGCTTCATACTGAGGATAAAGACATAGTAAAGGGGAAGTCTATCCACATTAAAATAAACCAACCAATGAATTTCAGCAGAGTACTCCCCTTCCTTTTTATATATTAAATTAAATAAAAATTAGATAAACTCCGATCTCCATCATACTGCTGACGTCACTCCTTGTCATCTTCATCTTCTTCAACACTCTCTCTTCTTTCAACTCCATCATTTCATTCATTGAAGTTGTTCATCAATTAATTGGACCCTCCAATCAAATGTATGTCAAATTTTTCAATTGTACAATATTTACTGAAAAAGGCAAATTTACAGAAAACTAATAAATTGAGTTGAATTTCAAAAAAAGCAGAAACTTTTTATAAAAAATGGAAGCTGCTGTTGAAGCTAAATCTTGTACTTCTTATGGCAAACCCCCTTGGAGATTCACAGGCAGGCCAGTTTCCCAATTCTTTATCTTTCTTTTTTTTTTTTTTTTTTTTTTTGGAGGTTTAGAACTAAAAGATTGAATGGTTTTTATGGGTTTCTGTTTTAATATGCAGGGCTCTGTATCAATTCCATTTAGTGAAGGCGGATGTCGCCCGAGCTCTGATTCCCAAAGAGTTCAGATTAGTTGAAGCTTTTGGGTATTATTCATTCCTTTTGGTTTTTGGAGTGGAAATTTGTTATTGCTAATCATTTGGGTATTATAAATTCATAACAAACTTTGCTTTAAACTGTACAGATATACACTTGGTGGATTCTTTCTTGCTAACTATGATCATAGTCCTGCTGGAGTCTTTGATGAGGTGCCTACATTTCCACTCAAAACATAAAAGCTTAGATTATTGTAAAATTCATTCATTGTTCTAATAACATAACAATTATTGCATTTTGAACTCTTTTTAGTTTTTATATCTGGAAAGTGCACTCTTTTGGATGAATAGTGTTACTGTTTTCTTATTCTTTTGCTCTTTTTTGGGTACTTTGTGGTCTGTTACAGTTAGTGGTGATTGCGGGGATTGTTTGGAACCCACCGACATCTTGCGCGTATGTTACTCTCTAATTCTACCTTTTCTTGCTTAATTATTGTTTAATTAGTCTACACAGTATGCTGTGCTAACTGTTGCAAATCAAAACAACAGTTATTTATGAAAACTATGTAATAAGGAGTAATAATATTTGGGAGTTAGAAAAGATTGAGGCCTTATTCATTTACAGTATTTGGGACTTTCAGAATTAACAATTTAGATCGAGTCAAAATAGTTGGTAGTCATCAGTATTTCAATGCAACATGATATATACTGCGAGACTAATTCTTTTTTGGATATTGATTAAACAGATGGGCATCCAAGGTTCTTGTTAACAGCAACGAGGCATGCCTTCATGGAAGAAAGGTAGGGGTTCGCCATCTTGATTATTCCAGGACATGGGGAGCCTATTTTTATCATCAGTTTCTCGGCTTTTGATTGCATATATTCAAGTTTGTTTCTGTTTGGTGACTAATTTACTTACGATGTTCAACCTTGTAGGAAGTGGGACTTCCAAGCCATGTTGCTAGGTTTACAAAGGTGGGTTCACTATAAAATTTTGTTAATTGTCGAATATTGCATAGTCTCTCTGGAATGTCTTTATAAGCTTCTAGCTTATGCTATGAATCAGTCCATAGAGCCATCAGTAGTTGTGGATTCAGTATATTTACCGATGTTGAGAAGACTAGAAATCAAGACACCAATGTTATAAATATGCAGAATTTAAATATGGTTTCTGGTTTTAGATACTGTACTGTAAAATAGATTCCATCTTACCTAGCTTCCTTGCTGTCCAGAGCAGAGATTCGCAGCAGATGCAAGGGCAGAGGAAAGCAGAGGCAATCGCTTCCTAAACATGATTGGTTTAGGTCATACCAAACCTAGTTCAAGGTTTCATTTGGATACTGAAGTAACTGAAATAAGTGGCTCGTCAGCTACAGCTGAGAAGTTCAGTATCAACCTCCTAAGTTCTGGTGAGTAGAAAATGATGCTAATGAATCAATGTTCCTGATGCTTTACCTTGCACCAACTTCACTAATTTTAGATCCTAGAGCTGTCTGGAGTTAACTAGGCTATATGGTCATACTTTACCTGGATTTTCAGCTAACGTAGTTATGAACCTAGCAATGTCCATGTATGCTACTATGTTATGGTTATTATGTGAATGATATGCCTTTTCTTCTAAGGTATCTCTGAGTTCGGGGTGGCTAGTCTTGGGTATATGACGTTTCAAAGGCTTTAAGACCCTGAATAACAATCTCTGGGAGATAGTTTACGGGATTGTTAGTCTTGTGAAGTATTCAGTTCGGACTTTTTTTGATAAATTCTAAGAAATCAAGTTTAAGAAAGTTTTTACTTTTTCTAATTTCCTTCTATCCCTGGTAGAACTGGTTTTTAATTTGACTGTGGTGTGATAATTGTTTTGATTGTTCACCTTTTGTTTGTGTTTTTTGGTCTGTTTAGTGCCTGAGGAGAATTCCAAAGCATGGTTGGGTCCGTTCATCAACTTGTCACTTCCAAGCTTTAGGTAAATCATCCAGAATATCAGCTTCACCTTTATACGTCGAAGTTTTATGTCTAAAGGTTTCTTCTGCTGATTTTGTAGTGGACGTACAGAACATAATCCCAACCTTATCAAGTATTCTTGCCAAATGGATTGCAGGTTTGCATCTTCCTACAATGCCTGTCTTTCATATTAATTTTCATACATAATGAAAACTGTTAGTATCTAAGGAAGTACTAATGAATGATTGACCTACACAAAAAATTATTTCAAAGACTTCCCTTCAACTTGGATGGATAGTCTTTTATTTGTTTGTGTTTTCTGATTTTCTGAGAAAAAATCTTTGTAAGTACAGGGTGCGTGTAGTACAGCCACTTCAAATATCCAGGCCATCTCCTATTACTGATCACAGGACTGGACATCAGGCTGCTGTAGACCAGAATTCAGATTCTGCACTTCAAGCTGTGGAAGTTACCTCAGAATTAAGAAGACGTTTAAGTCTTTCAGTGATGTTATCAAAACCGATACTGGCTTTGGAATTTAACTGTTTGAATATGAATGTTGAAGATCCTCTAGTCATTTCTCATTGAAATGCACCTTGTCTGTAAGAATTATCTTGGTTGCAGATCTATTGTGCATCTTATCTTAATAAAAAGCTGACTCACACGAAATTCATTCGACATTATGCAGAAAAGAAAAAGTGGCCTTTCTTACTGAATACAGAATTCACAAAAAGCTTATACTTAAAATTTCCCTAGTTACACTTATGTTTGCTGTTTCCTGTGGTTACTCATTCAAGTAGATCAGAATACTTCAGGAAGAGGCTTACCCTCCAGAAAAGATTTAAACAGCACAAGGGACCTCTCTGGCTGAGAAAATGGAGCTTCATGAGATGCTCCTCGTATTGTGGCAAAAGATAGGACATCTCCATGCACTTCTGTCCAACCACCAACCTAAAAAATGAAGACAGTTTTTTTTAAGAGTATCAAAAATTTAGTTCATCAGTTGTTAGCCTCTTGTAGAGTTAAAAAAATTCTTCAGTCTGAAAGCTGACCTGCATCCCCACAAACCAGACTCTGTATGGTACAGTTGTGTTCAGTTTTAGCTCATCAGCTAGCCGTTTAACTAGTGTTCTACTTCCAGTCAGAGGAATTACCGAATCTTGATCTCCACTATGACCGCAAAGGTTAAAGGAAAGATGTCGTCATGGAAAAATTAAAACTCAAATTACAAGACATTATCACTGACATAAACAGAAAATTAGTATACCTGTAAATCAGTGCAGGAATTCCAGCCTTGATGAGATCGCCTAGAATATGTATTGTTGGTTGCTCCAGGTCAAGTAGCTCATAATCCAGGATTCTGATCATTAAGAATGGCAGCAAGCATGCATATCAAAATCAATAATCATATATTAAGAGTTCAAGATACATAAATTAACATCAGTAAAGTGCTAAAGCTAAATACAGATATTCTACCCCTCAACAAGAAATTAGTCTTTGGTGTTTCCAATCCAATTTGTAAATTCAAACTAAATTTAGGATAAGTGATGCGAAAGTATTACTTGCTACATACAGTCCATGAATTGACTCCTACAAGACGAGCATGCATGGCCTTTTGCACATCCTGCTGATTTAAGTATTTCAGCGTTTCATCCTCCACACAAACGTCTATTGTCTCACCATCTTGCTGCAGTATGCATGAAAAGATTGAGACAAAACTTTCAGCTGAAAAAAAAAGGTAACTAATGATATTCAGACTCACATGGGGAGTAAGGAATTTGGATTGGGAGAATATAGATGGCAAGCAAACATCGAGGGTAACATCATATTTATCAACAAATCTGCTTGTTTCTCGGCTCACCAAGTTCATCACCTTAGAACACATTGGTGACACAAATCCTCGGTAGTATTCCCCCACATAACGTGAATAGTTGCAAGCCGAAGTAAATACATTGTAGGTGGAATCAGATATCAATCCATGAGACCAGAAAAACTCTGCTCGTGAATTGAAATCAGTAATGAACTCTAGAACTGGATTACCCAACTGCAGTTGAGAATAAAGATATGAAAATAATGCTAAGATGTTTTCATCAATAGGGCAACAATGTCAGCAGAAAAACTACTACAAAAACCAAACAAAATTTAAAAAGAAATATGTGAGGTGTTTTACTCACTGCAATTCCTTTCAAGTTAAACAGTCTTTCCTTCTTGTTGTACTGAAGCATAAGTTCGGCTAGTTGAGGAACATAATGACCTGTTTATGTAGTGTGCATCAGGAGTTCAGTTCGACTTGTGTTATCGACTCATTAAAATTTCAATTTGCAGCATCATCCGGAAGTTCTTGTCACAATGTAACAACTAATTTCGGATAAAGTGAGTACGAATTAAGATCAGTTCTGCTAAAGGGAAAGAGAGTTACCGGCATAGCTTTCCCCGGTAACGTACAAGCTTCTGTTCTGATATTGAGGGAACTTGAGAAACCATTTTTGCAGAAACACGAGATTGTCCCTGGCTTTATTTTTTTGAGTAAAAGAAACCGAAAAAGCAAAAGAAGCAGTGATGGAAAATGTGTCAATCATGAAGTCTTTTCTTTTTCCAAATGGAAAAATACACAAAGAAAAAGTAAAAGGAAAACGCAGAAAAGGTAAAGAAGAAGAAAACGAAGCCATAAAGTATTGAAGTGGACAAAGCTTGAAAAAGGCAAAAATTAACAAAGGGTGTTGCAGATAAGATTCCTCATTCACCAAATCACCACAGTACCACTGTGGCCTGTGGGTGGGGCGGGAGTAAGACCCGGCGAAGAATCCGATATAGATACTTGAATATTCATTCGTCATAAATTTTAATGCAACTATTTTAACTTAGATGAAGCAAAATGTCATAAAAATGGAAGATAAAAACCTGTAATATGATCATTTGCAGTTTGATAAAAGGAAAGATTAGTTGAATATGAGAAACCAACTCCTGCAGGAGTTTCTAAATACAGCATATTTGCTTCTGCAAGAATATCAGCATGTTAGTTAAACTGTCAACAAATAATGCAGGAGATCCAGAACATAAACAACGCAGGAGTTTCTAAATACAGTACATCATATTTGCTTCTCCAAAAATATCAGCAAGTTAAACTGTCAAAAAATAATGCAGGAAATCCAGGACATAAATTTGACAGGTATGAAAAGAAAAGGAACCTTTGTTCCAGCTATACTGATTAGTAACGAGGCGATTTCCTGCAGGCCGAAAAGGTCCATTTTCAGAGAAAGCACCAACACCAAGTGAAGAACAACCAGGTCCTCCATTAAGCCAAAGAACAAGAGGCTTAGTAAGAGGGTTGATTTCAGCCTCAACAAAGTAGTAAAACAGAGCTTTTTGGTTGGTTTTGTGTTGATCATCAGTAAGTGTTACATAACCTGAGTAATGCTGGAATTCTACTGAAGGTTGTCCTGGTAATCTTGTTATTCTGTCAGTCGACTCGATCACGATCACACCATTCCCAATTCCTAAAATTAGTAACTGTAAAACTAGGAGCATTCTCATCACCATTGCTTTTTTTGGTAGGCAAATCATGCAAATTAGTCAAAGTGGAAGAGAAAGAGAGACGTTGGGTTGAATAGGATGAGGGTAGGCTGGTAGCAGGTAGAAATGCTGTTCTACTGTGGTGCACTTCCTCAGACCCACTAATTTATAGTGTGTCCAAATGATAAAGACTTTTCACTTTCAATTTCAAAACAATAAAACTATTCTACTACGGAGTATTATACGTTTATATTACACATTTATACGGTAAAAGAACATTGGTTGTGAAATTATCTAAACTCATCTCAACTTATTGTTTTATGAACATAATATGGTAAAACTTCTAGCCAATGAGCTTTTCAAAAATAGTGAACCTAGGAAATCTATAACATGTACCTCTTCTCTTAATTGTTAGGGAATAATTAACAAGTTTTCTTTGGAGATACATACCAGATATTATTATTCTTTTGTTATAATTATAGAAAATGTCCTTTGTTTATGAATCATATCATTAACTTGAGTTGATGTTTAATTTTTCAAATCAATGATTGACTCTTTAGTCTTAACAACTAACAATGAAAAAGTGAAAGGAGGGTCAAAATGTCACCCTTCAAAAGAACTTACCCTAAATTTCTGTTTATTGTACTACATGAATATACTTTTTTTTTTTTACGACATGAATATACTATTATCTAGTTGTTATCAGGAAATCCAAGTGGAGTGAGCCCTTTTCGTCTACTTTTGGTGCATGAACAAGGCCTATTAAGGCTCCTTCCTACCAGTAGAAGGCAGTAACAAAAGACTACAAGGATGTTGTTAACTTGTGATAGTGATGTCGCACATGGTTTCATGACCCCATTTTTTCACTTTTTGGTGGTGGGTTGTGACCAGCCAAAGTGTAGCTAGGCGAAATTTTTTTATAAAAAAAATAAACAAGAAACCTATACATATATGATATATGTACTTCGTCTCTTCAGAACACATCACTCGAGTTGTTTTAGTTATAGTTACAGTATTAAGTTACAAATAGGAACATCGCTTCGGATTAGGAGTACATGGGAGATCTTCCCTAAGGTCACAAACTCAACTCATTGAGTCCTTTCATAATTGTAGGTTACGGACCTCAATTAATTTGGAATCCTCTCATTGTAAAGTTGTGTAAGCCTAAAAATAAACAACACACAGAATAGAGCCCAAGTATCTCAGTTATCGAAGTAACTGCTGAGCCAATTCTAGTTGTTGCAGCATTGATATGCTCATATGCATTTCAGGAACATCAATTACAGTATGCATTAGAAACAAGATTGAACATAGGTCTAGGATGGTGACTCGATATATAAAACATATAGGAGCCTGGATCCCAATAAACAAAACGGGGATGGCCCAGCAAGTAGGAGAAACTAAGCTATGTACATATAAAGAAGAAATACATTCTATACAGCAGTGAGAACGAAAGATGAGGTCTCAACTAGTAAGTAGAAATTACGTGTAATTTAAGCATTGGCATCAGAAATCATTTTCTCTGCGAGATGCCTCCCAGAGTCGACGTTCAATCCCTAATTTTCTCAGCTCCACCAAACCTTGATCAACTGAGCAAGAGGCATCAAATGAAGCATATTAGAAACCATGTGCTCTGACATTCAAGCCATTTTGCAAGTAGGCAAACAATCCAAAACAAGCACAAATATAGATCAGAGGTTTATCAGCATGATCAATTTTTCCAAGAGTAGGGCCCTCTTACAGGATACAACAGGACCATAAATTCCATGAGGATATTTACGTTATTTTTTTTCCCACAACTTATAAGAACTAGAAACCAGAAGAGAAATTTTACCGTCAACTGCATCATGTGAGGTTGGCGAATGTCTGCTCCGACCGATCCAAAATTGAAGCCTTTCTTTGGCGATGTCCTTCTCTATACCAAGGTTCAGCGCTCTTCTCCAAAAGTAAGTCAGCCATGCCTATTCATCCAACATTCAATTAGTTAAAAACTTATATCACTCACATCAGAGAATTTGGATAAGCTAACACCTGAAGACCACATAGGTCATCCCCAAGTTCCTAAATCTCATTTTAAGTATAATTGTCACTAGAAATAGATCCATTAATTACTGTTTTGCTTGCTTATTTTATCCTTCACATTAGAACTTGGTGTGTTCATATAAATTGAACTTAAAAACAAAAGGGTTTTAGGCTTTTAGCTGCAGAACTGACACAGCGAGGCAATTGACTCCATAAGCATGCAGAGAATGAAATAACAAAAACATCAATAACATTTCCAACTTTGAGAAACACTTAGGACCACAATGGTTAGATTGAATTTGATGTCAGAACGGTTAAGTAAACTGGCCACTTCAACAAAATTACACTCCGTCTCGTAATAATCGCAACACTAGAATTGCACAAAGTTAGAAAAATATAGGGTGGCCGGGTGGGGACCATAGGGGATTTTTTATATTACAAAGTATAGTTAATAGGAGAAAAAAAATTCTACGTACTAAAAAAGTGGTGTAAGGGGGGTTAATGGGAGAGTGAAATAATAAAATAGTAATGGGTCCTTGCCAAATAAAGAGGAGTTACAATTATTATGAAACGGACGTAAAAGGATAGTGTTGTGATTATGAAACGGAGAAAGTAATGAACAAGGAGTAGTTTCTGAAAGCATTTTTTTGTCAAAAGCAGTGGATATAAATGATAGCTAGCAGGGATCATTGCAAACATAAATACATTTGGCAGTCTCAGGAAATTCTAAACACGAAATTATATGCGCTCTAAGCTTGTCAAGAAGGAAAATAGAAAAAACCTAGAGTGAAGAAAAACTGAACAGAAAAAAGCCAAACCTCTTTAAACAAAACATCTTCTGATTCCTCTGGGCTTAGCTCTGTCAGCAAAAAGGAATATCAAAACCATGAAGGCAATCAAAATTTAACATATCTATCAGATATACAAGTCAGATCCACACTAGAAAATCTCCATGATTTTTAGATGAACGAGAATATATTTCAGCAGAATATTAACATAGCTGAATCATTAAAAAAATAAAATAAAACCAAAATCCAACAACGGGAAAAATTAGAAAAACACCATAGAATTTATTGATACTTTCTTTATTCAATTAATTTAGCATCACAATTTGCAAAAAAGTGAAGTGTCAACTTACAATCTTAAGAATTAGTAGCCCAGAATAAAGTCAAAGCTTACAAGTTACAACTACTCTTACAGTGGATTTTGATTAGAATTGTAACAGAAAGGGCAGGAAAGAAAGGGAAGGGATGGTATGGGGGTTGGTTTATTCCCTCCAAACCTCTCCATTCAAATGAAAGAAAATGGACTGCTCAGTTCCATTCCCTTTCTTTCTCATTCCAAATTCAAATAATTGAACATGGATCCCTCAGTCTCCCTTTCTTCACTTTTATCCTTTCATCAAATTCACTTAAAAGGATTTTCAACAAACCATCTGTAGGAGATGAGTCCAAAGGGCAGGTCAATTATAAAGCCTAAAAGAGCAGCATATATTTATATATTCAGCATAAATCATGATTGAGCTTCAAATTTCTAAAAGTTCTTTACTAAAGGTTTTGGTTGATAAGGTTATCATTGTAACTATCTCTTTATAGAGGTCTTCACAAATTACACTCAATCCTAATGAAGAGTAGTTTCATCCAAAAATTAATCTATCTGGTACTTTATGATCTAAGAGCAATCAAATAGAAAAAACAAAGATATGTACCAAAGGCTTCCATATACTTAGCATCTCCTGGTGATTTGAAATCTGCATGCAAATGAAATTGATACATTAGTATAGTAGAAAAAGTGTAACAGCCAAATATATGTAGAAAGATTCTCCATGCTAAAAACCATACATACAGTACAAGCAAGCTCATCATAACCATCAAAACAAAATCAAGATAAGATTGTTAAAGCCTTTATGAGAAAGTGCCAAAGTAATTTATGGCAACCTGAAATAGATAATCTAGAAGAATTTGGCCGGCGTTGCTGGGCTAATGCGTATGCAATGGATTCTTCCACCTGAAAAGATTAAAATCATGTCAAAAGTTAAAAAAAAAGAAAGAAAAAGCTAACAGCATATGCAAAGAAAGGGGAAAAAAAAAAGTGAGGAATGAATGTCACAACAGATTGGATATAGTGCTATATCTTCAGGGAAACTGAAAGAACCTTTAATGACGCAAGCTCTTTTAAGCCCATTTCAACCGATAGCATATTCTCTATGTTTCCATCTCCAGTAAGATCATTGAAGTCTTGATTAAGCCTGCTTTTATTCTCAGAATCTTCACCACCTACTTAATCATATAAATGACATAAACAAGTATTGAGTACAGAATTCATAAACAAACTCCCGTAACAGATGAATTAAAAGATATTTCAATGGTTTCACACAGCTAGGAGACATAAGTACAACCTTTTTCCCAGCTTTCCTCTTTAGCCTTCTGGCCGGCAGAAATAACTAACTCGAAAGGAAGAGGAGCTAATGAAGACCAGTGTTCATATTTGGATGTAGCAATATCTGCACATATACCTGCCAAAAAGTACAAGAGTGCAGTCAGAATCAACTAAGTAAACATATTATTTATGAAGTATTTAACTTTCTAAATTGTAATGTCCAATGCTAGAGGGTGGAGGGTAGAGCATAGGCAATTGGCAGGTCTTCTGTTATCAACTCTCTAAATCATTGTAATATGGCATCACGAGAAAACCTTGGTTGTTCCATGTGGGCAAGAACTCCCAGGTTGCAAACAGTAAAGGCACTTATCTTTGCCACTTGTGCAAGACTTACTACACACTTCAACTATAGTATTTTATGGCCGTATGGCAATTATGAAAAAAGTACAAGTAGAATTTTTGTAAATATAATAACACACATACCGCAGCTACTGGAGCTGTAATAAGGCAACTGCAAAAAGTGACTGCATTCAGCAAGACATAAATAGGGCCCTTTAAAATAATCCCCTTTAGGTTCAAGAAATTACTCAACTTATTACCTCATAAGGCTGCCAGAAATAGATCTAGGTGCTACATGTGCGTACATATAACTTTTCAGCAACTTTTGATGGATGCAGATTGTTGTTGAAAAATTCCATAGCAAAACTACTTAATAATAATGGGACAAAGGTGCATTTTTTTAACCAGATGCAATATAACTGCCCAATGAGCCTGCATTATTTCATTATGTTTTTTTTTTATACCCTGCCGTCTGTAGCTTCATTAAATTTAGTACTCCGTAACAAAAAACATTATGATGTTCAAAACATAAAAGGTGTTACTGCTAGGATAACAGTGAGGTTATGTGATATGTGACTAGACCTGGAGGTCATCATGGTAGCCTTTCAGTAGCAGGGATTTGAGTGCATCTGACTCCGCAACAAGGTAAACTAAGCCCTTGTCTAGTTATAACCAAGCCAGACCATTGTATGGAGTTAGCATATGAGACAAAGGAATGAAGAAATCAGTAAGCAAGGGCAGATGTTAATATTTGAACATGTATCTATGGAAATTGACAAAATTAAAATCACACATAAGCTATAGAGAGTTTCAGTATTTCCATGGAAAGACACTAAGCTCTCAAAATAGCCAACCCCAAGAGGTGAATGACATTCCTCAATATTTCCCCGAAAGCATGTCAAAAATTTATTCTGAATAAAAAGAATGAACAAAGTATTCCCTAACCAATGAGTAAAGACCGAAAACATTAAAAAGACAATGAATATAACAGGTGTATTACCAATCTGTGCAGCTAAGCCCCAGTAACGAGCAAGCCAACATCTCTTGAGAACTACTTCTTCCTGCCATGATAACTTGATCAGTAAGATAACTTTCAAACAACCAAAGAAGAAATCTGCAGTACATAGCTGGAACAGACCATCTCTTCCTGAGTTAAAATCATTCTTTCTGTCATTGAACGAAGAGCTTTAACTTCAGATTCAGTACCCTGAAGCCGTGCTGCAGCAGCTTCAACTTCATGTTTAGCATTCTTCAAACCAAGGAAGGAAAGCATAAGATCACATGTAATAGATAAAAAGGATAAGCAAGCAATTAAGTAGCCAAAAGTTGAAATTGTATCTTAAAAAAGTTACCTCGGCTTCTAAACGAAGATTTGTGACTTCTTTGTTTATTACTTCTTTTGATTGCTTGTCATCTTTAAGTGCAGCCTGTAGAGGCTGAGCTTTTCATAAATATCCATATGAGCAAAGAAACCACAAGTACAGAATAAAGTATATAAATGAAGGGGTTAGGTCTGCTTGATGCATTAATAATCCTGGATAAAGCCAACTATATACCCCCACATTTAACACAAGGAAATCAATTAATGAAAACTAAAATATACCAGAGTAAGGACCAGTAAATAATCAAGCAAGTTCATAGAAGAAAAAGGGAAAAAGAAACAGAAGCCATGTTTTAACAACCTCTCTTTGACGTAAGGCGACTTCTTTTCTGCAGAGATTACCAGAATGCAGAAATCAGAACAGAAGGTCTGAAACCCGAAAAACAGGTCAAAACATATATATTGACAGTAACATGATACCTGTTCAAAAACTTAGCTTCTAAAGAGACTCCATCCCCAAGCGAAGCAACCTAAAGAAACACAGGATTATCAAGATAATCAGCAGCAACAGGATAAACAATTACGAAATATAAGTTAGCATAGCTGAACAGCAGCATGAAAGTTTCAGTTCAAATTACTCCCTCTTATTAAAATGTTTTGTCATTATTCCCTTCTAAAATTCACACAAATATTAGCAAAATTTTCAAGTTAATATGCCCCAGTTATAGCCAAATTGTATGTCAATACACCCCCAGTAATTGTGTATGGACGTCTACTCATTTTTATAATATTTGAATTATACAATCATCTATTAGTTTGCTTTATCTTTCCAATGAAGCAATTTCATTTTAAAGGCTTTTTCTGTTATCTAGCTTTCATCCAAAACACCAACCATGTTTCAAGAATTTTAAGAGAGTATAACTATACGTACATTTGTATATGGCAGACTATCAAGTTCATTAAATGTCAGATACTTTTATGTTGATCAACATAAAGGTCCCTTTTTGCCTAGTTTCATTCCCACACCATACTCTGGACAAGCAACAGCTCCCAGAACTGAGCTCCATTGTCCTGTTGCCTAACTCTTTGTAACATTAAAGGTTCAAATAAGGAACGTAAATTAAAATATCTCCCTGAATTTCGAAGGAGAGTCTCTTAGCAATGAGTACAAGAATACATGGAAATATTTCGCACGGGACATAATAAGGATTTGCAAGCCTATAACCCTATATAGCGATGATCGATGAACCCTTTTTTTATTATGTTTCTGAAATCAAGGCTTTTTTAAAGTGAGCTAATAAATTTTATTCGCATTCCAATGTTATTTTAGTCTGAATTAACAATGTTACCTTTTACTTCAAAGGAAGTTACAATTAATTAAGTCTACACTGTAGTGAATCCATACAAAGAATATGTCTGCTCATGTCTATTCCAACTCTATTAGTCTCCATTGATAATGAAAAAAAAACTACTTTAAAAGCCACTTATCTCCTTCTTTTACCCCCTTATGTAGACTTGGCAATCCTGACCCGAAATCCGAAATCGATCCAACCCATACCCGACCCAAAAATGGAGTTGACATGATCTTGACCAGACACCCAAACTTACCTGACCCGAAGTTAACCCGATACCCGAAGTGACCCACCAAAAGTTGTCTCAAAGTGTTTGACCCAAACAGACCCGATACTTGAAATGTTCTAAACTAAAATTACCTTATAAATGAACTAAAAATGTTTGATGCCAAAAATGATTCAAATTGTTCATCCCCAAATGTAGCCAAGTTCATAATACTTGTAATAAAATTATCGAGTTCAGCTTGATCTACAAATGAAACAACCCGAACATGACCCGACCCAATTTTTACCCGACCCGAATATGACCCGAACATACTTTACCCAAAAATGGTATGACCCGAATAGACCCGACCCAAAATTGAAAAAACCCGAAACCTAACCCGAGTCATACCCAAAACCCAAATTGACCTAACCGGACCCAACCCGACCCAACCCGCACCTGACCCGAATGTTAGCTGACCCGACCCAAATGACCCAATTTTCATTTGGATAGCTAAAATTACTCTTTTATTTTGAGTTCATAAAGTGGTAAAAATTCTCGATGGTTTTAGGAAAATTAATGAACTTTGTAATTATTGGAAAGAAATTTGTTGGCTCACACCTGCATAAAGCTGGTTCTTAATCCCATAATATAAAAGCAAATTTTTAATTTCAAATACTACAAGCTTGACATAGATAAACAGAAGTTCTAGTAGGAATTTGGAATCATCATTCTTCTTGTAGAGCTCCAATTATGAAAAGGGAGACCACAACAACAAAGGTATTCAATCCAACAATGAAAAAACAAATGTTATGTTACAATTTACAAACAAATAAAGATGTTATTTTCTAAGGAAAAGGACAATAAAACAAAACCTGTTTTTCAAGCTCTTTAACTCTAGCCTCCACTTGCTTACTTCTCTCTTCTTCTGCTCTAAGCTACAGAAGATATGAAACAAAAAATAAGAAACCAAACCAAAACATTAATAAATATGATAAACCCAATTAGAAAAGCAGAAAGGATGAACCTTTGAAAGCACATTGTTGTTCTCCTCTTGTAGCATATCAAGCTGCAAAAAGGATATGTCAATCAAACCAATTTTGAAGAACATGGGAACCAATATCCTCCACCTCTTATATCTAGATGCATAATTTACAAATCTCTGCATATAAATTCGAAACATACTTCATCACGTAGACCAGAAGAATCTTGCAGATGTCCTGCATCTTTGGTATTATTTTGTACTTTATCTGCAAAGAATCTGGAAACAAACACAACAATTTAAACTGTTTAAAGTCAATGCATTACGATGATTTATTCACCAAAGATTCACCGTATACATGGTTCTGCACAAGGGAAATAGACATCCATGTGGCTTATTAGGCAAAGAAGCACGGACCCAGAGACGAGACCGAAGTAGAAGGTATGAGATAATATATAGGATGCTATGGGCAGATAGGAGAATAGGAGAGCATTTGTACATGAATCAATAATCTTATAGAAAGCATTACAAGTGATGCAAAATACTCTAGGGAAAAGTTAAAATGATAACAAAAGTCATCGTCTTGACAAAGCTGTCAAAGCTTAGATTAAATAGGAAGCATTACTTGAAGTTAAGCTCTCAACGGCCCGCCATTTTAATATCTTCAAACCAATATTAGTTTTATTATTAGAATGATAGAGGCTAATCAATTATAACACTAACCCTTTCAAACTAGTCCCACTCCACACATTACATATTTGAACAAAATCTCGTGGGTGTTATATCAACAATCATGACTGATGCTGCATAAAATTGATGAATTCATATGATTTAACAGTAAGTTTATACTCACCAAATATAGTGAGTACATAACCTTCAACATAGCCTTATTATGTTAGTGAAGAAGTGAATGGGTGAACGGCGACAACTTGGCTAAGCCCAGTTTAGGGGACGAGCCCCGACTTCCATAGGTCCTTGGTTTGACCTCCTTAACAGGGGTCACCTTGCACCAACGGTAGATAGGAACCGAACTGTCTCACGACGTTCTAAACCCAACTCACGTACCACTTGTTATCCAAAAACTAAGGCTAACATAAGAGTCCAATAATTTCTTCTACTTGAATATGACATACAATGCTATAGAATAGGTTGGTGCAATGGCATTAGCTAAGTAGAAAAACATTACCATATCATGTTAGCGAATAATTTACTTCATATTATGTTAGCGAAGAAGTGAATGGTTATCCAAAAACTAAGGTTAACATATGAGTCCGATAATTTCTTCTACTTGCATATGACATACGAATCTATAGAACTGGTAGGTGCAATGGCATTAGCTAAGTAGAAAACTATTAACATTTCATAACTCTATGGGCTGTAATTTTCATTAGAACATGATTATAGAAACCATGATCACTGAACATTTGCATTAGAACAGCTGAGCAAAAACAACAATATCCAAGCATGAATATCATCAAGATAGGGTCAGCGCAAGTTCAAATGATCACATTAACATTTATTTTAGAATACCATATGCCAATTTGCCTTCATAAGAATCTTAAATATAGCAATTGCAAACAATAAGTGCTCTACAGAGACAGAAATGAAAGGCAATATCTCGAAATCATAACTATGTACGTCTAAAATAATTTATAATCAAAGCCAAACTTTAGTAATTCCTAGCATCATTAACAATAGAGCATGTTTCAGATTCAACCTCTTGTGCAAATGCAGCACATTCATTGATCTCCATAATCTACTCAAATTCGCAGCAGAACAGATGCATACTCCTAAGATTCCTAACCACAATTAGCAACAAAAATCACCATATCCAACTTAATAAACAAATCAAATAAGAGAAATCAATACTATACCGTTTACTATCTTTCTGAGACCTAAAGGAAGGTGAATCCAACGGTGGGAGGGAGGATTGGCTCTTCAACGTTGTAACATTCGACGAAAACGGAACTGGTGTTGGTGCCGGTACCGGAACCGATTTCGGTGCGGCAGCAGTTCGAACAGATGCTGATGATCTACCATTAGATTTCGCCCGAACTGACGGCATTTCATCCAGCGAATTCCTCGCTGACTTTCTCCACCAAAAATTCAATCAATCGTCAATTCAATCAACAACAAAGCTAACAAAACTCAGCAATGCCGTAACAAACAACAGCAGATCAACAATTCAAGATAAATAGAGAGTAAAAGAGAGTTCACTAACCGCAGGAGAAGAAGATCTAGTTGAAGTAACCTTAGGAGCAGAAGGTAGAACAGGCTTGGAAACACCATTAACGATGTTTCTAGACAATGCAGGAGCAGGAAAACGTAGATCACCACCATCATCATCATCTTCATCAGTAGTCTGAGAAGCCATAACTTGAGCTAGCCGTTGAGCAGCAGCTCGAGCAGCGAAGTTCTGAGTGCGCTTAACACTGGAGATTCCGGTAGCAGAGGAAGTGCGAGCGTGGTGGGCGCGAGTAGGCGAAGCGGTGGGAGATTCGACGGAGGAGGTGGTGCGATTGTGGTGAGGACGGGAAGAAAGGAGAGATGCGGCGGCGACATTGTTGGGCTCGGAAGTCCACCGGCGAGGGTAGATCGGACTTTCAGTTCGTTTAGTTTCCATAGAAGTTGAGTGGAAGGTTCTAGAGAAATAGGTGGAGTGGAGGAAGATTGTCGTGGAAGTTAACAGACCATTGTCGTCAAAATGTTAATGAGGAGAGAGAAAGAGGAGATGAAGAAGAAGAAGATGTCGTTTGTTTTGGTGGTGTGATTGGCTCCACCTCCGTCGAGGCCGGCGAAACAGATGTTGTTGTTGTTCACTTCTTTTTTTTTTTTTTTTTTTTTTTTTTTACTTTTTTTTTTTTTTTTTTTTTCTTATCACTTTCTTTTCTCAGTCACTGCCGTCGCTGAACATTAAGACCTTATGGAGTGACGGGTAAGATTTCCACTTTTGATCTTGCAACATTTTGACTTTATTTTGTTATATAAGTATCCACATAAATTGAGATAATAGTTTCCTTAAAAAAAAAAATAAAAAAAAAAATAATAGTTGACACATATTTTTAGGCAATTTAATTAACTTGAATATTATACAAACAAAGTAAAAGATAAGTGAAATTGTTGAAATATTAAAAAAAAAGGGTAAAAGTAAATAAAGGAATTACTCGGTCCATACTCATTTCATTGCCCAATTGTATTATTTGGGACATTATTTATAACATTTGGTTAAAAATCCTCACAAATCTATAGTAAGGAATAATATAATTGGATGCGATCTTGTTGTGTTCTTTACAATATCTACTTTTAAATTTTCATTTCTATAATTTTAATGTGTGTATAATTAGACACATTTATAATTAAGAACATACCTTAAAATTCATGAAAAGTCAAAATGGAGCAATTTTTTTTTTTTTACAAGAAAAATGGAGCAAATAATTAGAGATATAGAGAATAGCTTATATAAATGGTTGTATATATCGATTTGACTTACTGATTGACTAACTCTCTATGAGTAAATGGATTTTACTTACTAGTTACATTAGATGTTTTGACTAAGAGCATGTTCTCATTGACTGAACTTAGCTGAATTGAACTGAATTGAGCTAAATTGAACTGAACTGAGCTGAGCTGAACTGAACTGAACTGAACTAAAATGAATATTTTATAAGAGAAAGAAATTAGGAGCAAAGCTGAACCGAACTGAACCGAGTTAAACTAAATTTCAACGTAAGAGAACAACCCCTAACTCGTTAGATGAATTTAATTTATTGGTTACATTAGTTGTTTTGACGAACTCTTTATATCATCTGCTTGTATATTATCAAATTATCTTATTGCCATAATTGCTCAAATAGGTCTTCTAAAAATGTGGATTGAACATATTTTTCCAAGTCAACTTGCTGAACTCTAATTAACTCTTTCTCCTTTGTCAAAAAAAATAAAAAAAAATAAAATTAAATTACCTCTTTCAATCATCTATTTTTCAAACACCAAAAATATTTGATTAAGTGGTCAAATATTTATCTAATTGCTAAAAGGTACTAAATCTCATCAATTATCTCTTTGTAATACAGGGAAAACTTCTTATTATATGAAACCAACTCATCATATATGTATAGTAATGTTGTCAAACTATTATTAGGTCCCGTTCTTTAGAGCTGTTTTTGCTCTGCTCTGTTTTGCTGAAATTTGTTCTGCTCTGCTCTACTTAAAATTAATACTTATTGAATTATTATAATAATAATTAATATTTTTTGATAAGAATAATAATATATATATATATATATATATATATATATATATATATATATATATATATATCACAGTGGTAAACCACTAAACATGAATAAAAACATGCATTTTGCTCCGCTCTGCTCTACTTAAAATTAATACTTAATATTGAATTATTATAATAATAATAATTATTTAATAAGAATAATAATATATGTAGCAAATATATATATATATATATATATATATATATATATATATATATATATATATATATATATCACATTGGTAAACAACTAAACATGAATAAAAACATGCTAACTAATTTTGAACAAGGGAGTATTTAGGCTACGTTTAGTTCAAAGTAACTTAACTTGATATCAACTTAATTCACAATATCGAATTAGATTTTATCTTTTTATTTGTGTTTATTATTTATTTTTATTTTTTTTTTGAAAGAAAGTTTTTTTTTTATATTAATTATTTGAAAGTACATGTTATACGAATCTTATTACATATAATTTAATAATTTTATACATTATAAGATACATAGTGTACAATTTGGCTTAAAATTTGATCAAATTTGAATTTAAATCAGATTAAATAAATAAAAAAATTCAAATCAAATAAGATGATATGGAGTGTCATTTAAACTGAATATAACCTTAATATTTTTTTTTATATATATTTTTTTAATTTTTTACAGGGCCTTGATGTCCATTTAAAAAGTAATCCAAGAAGTGAATTAGGCCATTAGTGTTAATCATATCCCAATTTAAGTATTTCATTATGTCTAGTGTCAATTATATCTCAATTTTTCCCATTTTTGTTAAGGAAGGACGTCACATACTCAGTCACCAACTCACCAAGTGTGGTCCAAATGTTTGATTTGATGGGGAACAATGAGACTATGAAATAAAGCAAGCACTCAACACGTTCAGTTAAAAAAATGTAATGTGCATTTATCACTAGTTCACTACCCTTCAGCTGGGCATGGTAATAGAGTTTTGTGTCGTTGTTCCAATTACACTCTCCGTTCTGCGAAGTATCAAATATGCCCCATCGGCGTGGCCACTAGCAGCCCACCCCTGCTGGCGGTGTATGCTGTATCTATTTCGCTTCCATGTCAAAAGGTAAAAACCAAGCCATAAATGAAGTAGATTATGTAGTACAGTACTGCCGTCGCTTGCATAAGCCGGAATAATAAGTGACTTAATACTTATTGCCGAATGCCGACACATAGGGCGTGTTTGGGGGCGTTTGCTATGTCTTTGTGCCCGACCAATTGAGGACCAAGTCAAACCACTACTCAACAAAAAATGTGAGTGTTTGGCAAAGTAATAGTTCAAGTAGCTTTTAGTGGTAGATGTAGCTTTTATTAAAAGATATGATTATTAGCTTTTGAAGTTAAAGGTAGCTTTTGAAGTAGCTTTTGAAAATTTAATGTATAGTTTTAAAAATAAAATATTGATTCTTAAATGTAACAGCTAGTCAACCACTAATCTATCGAACAATCATACCTAAATTATCTTTTTTCACAGCTAACAACTTGTTAACAGCTAACAGCTATCTCCACAGCTCACAAGAGTCACAACTATCTCCATAGGTACAGCTACATTCACAGCTATATTTTGCCGAACATGCTCATACTAATCCAAGTTCGCATATACAACTAGAAAGGTTTTCTTAGAATGTTCAATAGTTAAATAATAGTAATCCATAATAAATTTCTTAATGTTGTAAACTTGTAAATTGTAATGTCAGAGCCAACGGCTTGGATACTCGGTGGACCAAATTTTAGTTAGTTCCACTCTTTAAGTAAATCAGTAGTCAGTAGTCATATTTTTACATTTCCATTTATGGGACAAATATATATACCATCCATCAAATAAAGGGTTCCAAGTTAAAATATAAGATCAAAACAATCAAAATATCACTTTCTGTTAATTAACCTATTTCTCCTATGAGATTACTTGAAAAATGAAAAATTCAACAAACATGCAGATTAGACTTATTTGACAAACAACCCACCATTCGCCCGACCACTGGTTCAGATTACTTTTACAGTTTTACCTTAAATGGTATATCTTTCATCAAATTTGATTCAGATAATCTTTGATAATGTCCCCGTTACCACCCAAAAAATAAATTTTCATTTTTAGTTAGTTACTCGAATTAATGATTTGGCCTTAGGAATTTAAGAGAGCAATTGATCTGGCCAGCATTCAACTTTGCCCTTTGGTTTCCCAGGCAAAGTTGTAAAAAATCGTGCTTTTCTGTACATCGCATCAAGTTAAATCATCCCTGCTTATCCCTTCACTTTGCAAGAAAGGTACCACCACATATCCTCAATATTCAACATTTTAGCCTCCGCGGTCAATCTCTCATTAACCCACGACACTGATTTCCCACCAAAAAGCTACAGCCAAGAAAATGGCTTCTCCCCCTCTCTATGTCAAACTGTAGAGCATCAACCAACTTCCTCTATCCCAGTCATCGAGCATCAACAATTATCACATGTCCCAGCAGTTACTACATTCTACATCTACCTTGGCTGTAAAATCCAATCCCTTAAACAAACACAGCCAGCCATTTTTGATGGGCACCCAGCCATCAATTACCCGATCAAGCATCACTAGGGATAAACCATCCTAAATGTCAGGCGAAAAGTCAGGGGTGAAAAGATAGGGCTGGTCCTTGCCATCAAAACCACATTTTCAAAATCACTGGCAAGGATGGTATAAGGTCAGTTTCCCCTTGGTATCAGCTTTTCATGAATTTGAGGAAGACTACCTAAAAATATCAAACTGCACTCAACAGTTTCTGTTCGACCAGAGCTGGACACACTATAACCTTTCACGATTTCACAGCAAAATCTTGCTCATTTACCCTTCTGTAAAGTAATGCAGAAGCTTCCACCCTGTCATGCAGTTGAATATAATAATAGTAATCATCAGAACAAATTAAAAAAAGAACAAAAATCTACTAGGAATAATAATTAAAACTCCATAAAATAAACTAGGGTTAGACAGGCAGAAATTCTCACCAGCCAGGATGCACAACAAATTTTCCAGTTGATATAGCCCAGTTAACCTGTTACAAATCAAATAAAATCAAGGCATACTGTTAAAAATGAAATAGGTAATTCTTATGATCAAACAGCCATGTAGAACGATTAATCACTGACAGTCTCACAATCAAGGATTTACAGTAAATTGGTGAAAAAAATAAAATACCTTGTCAGTCCCAAGAGAATTGGCCACTACATGGGTAACTTGTTCATCTATTTGGTTGGTGCACACAGCACCAAACTGCTCTGCTGTCTGCCAAAGTGGGTGTAAGTGAGGTTTAACTTCCCCAACAGGGAAAACCCTGCTAAACACAATGCGGCAGCCAGCAAGAATCTTTCGCTGCTCAGCAGCCAAGATATTTCTCACATCCACATCATCCAGGGAGTTGTGAGCAAAGAAATTTTGGTGTATCCTCTCTATGACCTGTTTAACAAATAAATACACAAGATCCAATTTAAACCATTTTTATTTCTGATTATGTGCTTAAATGACAGATTTGGAGGGAACGGGAGGAGAGGGAGGGTGAAAATTTTTATTATTTGTAAACGGGATGAGGAGAGGACAGAGAATAGGAGTGACCCATTTTCCCCCCTTTTCATTAATCCAAAAACCCTTCAAATAAAATTAGAAGATTTGGAATGAAGAAGGAAGCACATGCTCTCTATTCCCTAGAACCCTCACCTTCCAGCTCTTTTACATAAAAAATATTAACCAACTTCACACTTAAATCCAAGAAACTTCTGCAATAGACTTACTGCCAAAGACGATGCCAACGTTCCTTCTTCTGGTCTCTCATCATGGTCAATCTCAAGAAGTGAAGGTCCTGGGAGCCCAAATTGCCTCCTACTACACGGAAAATAAGTAT